CTTTTATACACATTGTATATCATGGCCATTTTAATGAAATGTACTTAATTGTCTGAACTTCCTTTCCTTGCAAATCACATACGTGGCTGCTTCTTATCGCCATGGTGGCAGGGTGTGACCTGGTGACCTGGCAGGCCTTTTCGAACGCTAAGCTTCCTGCTGTGGGCTACATGAGCAATGAGCTGCTAATAGTGTGTATGCATGTCTTACACTAGTGAATCTCGGGCCGGTGGTGAATGGGCGGGTCCTGCTTTTCTCCAAAGCTTTTCGTTGATTGAAGAGTCTGAACCGCGAGGTGCTGAGCAGGTGTCTTTGCAGGTGCCGATTGGTCCCTCGTTAGGGTAGCGATCCAGCCTGAGATGCTGTCGGGAAATTGCGGGGTTGATCTGACCGGCGTCGGAAATTAAATGAAATGAAATTTCCATGTCAGGTGTCCCGTTGTCGTACTTTCTGTGCTGTATCCTCTCAGGTTTGAGCGCATTCCAAAGTGCTGTTATCTGGTCTTTGTGTGTTGCCTTGAAATAGTGTTTGTGTCTTTCCTACCCCCCCCTCCCCAAGCATATACTGTACATTGCGATCAGAATTGCACTATTAAGGATGAGTGAAGGTGAATATAATGTCAGCACTGCTGAAGGAAGATCTTCTTGGTTACATTGTTTATTTGCTAGACTCTGATGCGTCAGTTGCCCCCTAAGTGGTTATTCTTGTCTACAGATATGAGCCTGCAAAATAATGGTGAAGTTTTCACTACACATGTCTGTTTATTGGAGCCACATCACAATATCAAAGCTGTGCTGGTAAGAGACAGAGCTCTCGATTTCTAAGGCTTCTGTGAAAAGTTACACAGGGAAGAACTGACTCAGAAGTGTTTTAGTTTGTGTGCTTTTAAGTATATATATATTTTTGTGAGCTTATCTGAATTAAGAGCTTTTTATGGCCCATTGCTAGAAGAGTCTGACCTGCCAGTTTCTTGACACGATCTTGAGGCGTAGTTTGCACAGCTGGGACTTTGACCATCAACGCTCTGTGATGCTCTTCTCGTGTGTTCAGAAGACGCCAGTTCGATTTGGAAGGAAAGTAAGCTGGCTGTGCTCTGGCTGGGGCCCGTTTGTGTAGACTCTCTGTGATCCTTTGAAACTTTTGGTTGAATGTTACTTGCTGTAATGATCCTTAATTTCGTCGTGATATTGAGGAGGTCCGCTTATGAGGACCAGGGGGTTTACTGGAGAACCGGAAGGTAAACCCACGTGAAAATGAAGTATCTGTTACTGAGAAGCCCACAGCAGGTAGCCAGGCCAAACACTGCCACCTCGCCGTCTTTTGGTTGTAATCGTGGGACCATCATGTTTCTCTCTACTTTTCATGCCTTCTGTTTTGTTTTTCATATTGTGTGTAGGATAGGTTTGCTGATTGATGGGGAAATGGCTGCTGTAGTGACAGCGCTCTTCCCCCTCTCTAAGCTGTTCACAAGATCATTGAATTTGCCCCCAGGTTCAGTTGCTTTGTGTTACAAAGGTGGTTGCAAAAACCAGAAATGGGAGAACATATATGTACCTCATACACTTCTCTGGTAGGAAACCAACCTGAGACTGGCTCCACTGGGGGAAATTGACCAGCTTGCTTCATATATGACGGAAAATGACATTAAAAATAAATCTTCTTGACGTGGTGGATGTTTTATTTTGCACATATCTGCAACATGCGTTGCAAGACCTTTTAGAAGGATGCTGAACAGTTTGGCGGGCAACTGCTACTATCCAACATGAATGACATTTGATCTCGATGTCATGGTGCACACTGACCCTGAGTATGGGTCTCCTCATGGGGGTCCAAGCCCAATGCTGTGATGAAATAAAGGTGGCAGGCATGTGTTTTACACTAGATCCTGTTTTCGTTCTCTTGAAATCGAGTAACCAAGCTGTTGAAGCACTAACACTTTGTTGAATGTGAGGAACAGGACACTGGGGAAGACCAGATGGAACGTATGTGAGAGAGATCGATGCTGACCTTGTCTCTCCCAGCTCATGCATCCTCGTTTTGCTCCTGTCACGGGGCAGGGGGGCGTCACCGTTACTAAACCCCACAGCAGAATCTCGACGTGACAAGAGGAACAGGAGGAGGGTTTCAGTGTTTGAAAGTCCTGCAATAAAATAAACATTTTGCTTTGTTTTTGTGCCATGTTTCACTAAAAATGGCGGGAGGGTGACTTGGTGCGTGCGTGTGCGCGTCCTATCCAAAGCAGAAATAAGTTCATGGGTTTCAGGCCTGTTGTTTGCCAGGGAGTGAGCAAGGATGCACTGCTTCAGATATAGCTGCGAGCTGTTCATGGTGACTTCACTAATTACTCCAATGAAAGAAACATCATAGTGTAAGATGGTAGACTAAACATTTTAATCCACTCGCAATGCTTGTGGTGCATTTTATATGGCGACTTGATCTGTAGTGCTCTGAGATGGGGGGGGGGGGAAAACATATAGTTTGACTAAAAATGCTTTTATTATGAAATAGTCCCACATAATACATCAACATACATCATAATATCATCACTGAGATTTGGCACGTCACAAGCATTTCATCCGAAAGTTAGATATGTATGCATACTATTATAAAACTCTTTAAAAACAGTAGATAAAAAAAAAAATTTTAAATGTTGATAAAATTCCGTGTTACGCCCTTGTTAGTCCTCAAGGTAAGGTATTGGCGCCGCGATGGTGGACGGTGCCATCAAAGGATAGCATGATAGCAGCTGAAATTAGTAAGCACCAGCATTTGCTGATGCCAACAGTAGCTTTCAACGCGGGACCGGAGCACCTGGCGAGGGCAGCAATGGCCTTCACCGCGGGGCCGCTGCATTTACCGAGAGCGGCGACGGCCTCCAGCATGGGCCCAGAGCACCCGCCGAGACAAACGGCGGCGTCAAGCACGTGTCCGCTGCATTTTCCGATGGCGATAAAGGCTTGAATCGCAGTCCCAGGGCTTTGCCCTAAAGCAGCAGCAGCCTCCAGCACGGGTCTCGAGCATTCGCTAAGGGCGAAGACGGCCTCCGCAGTGGGTGTGGAGCATCTGCTAATGGCAAAGAGGCCTTCCAGGATTGGTCCAGAACATTTACTAAGAGTCAAGATGGCTTCCAAGATCAATTCCAAGCATTTCTTAAAAGCTATAACAGCCTCCACCGATGGCACTAAACATTTCTGTGATGTTATGAGAACGGAACTGAAAAACAGTGGCATGTTCTCAGTCTCTGAGAGGTGTTTACTTGAAATCATTGAGTTGGTTTTATACATCTTTCTTCTGACAGTCAGCATTGTGAAATCTGTGGGTTTTGATCTCCTGGCTGCCCAAACTGTCATCTTACTGAGACCAAACATTGTAGAAAGAATGGGTCTTGATCTTCTACCCAGAGCATATGTCCTTTTACTTAGACCAAACACTGTGGAAAGAATGGGTCTTGATCTTCTGCCTAGAGCATATGCCCTTCTGCTGAGACCAAACATTGCTCTGAGAAAAGGTTTCGATCTTCTACCAAAAGAATATGTCTTTTTGCCAAGACCAAACATTGCTCTGAGAATAGGTTTCGATCTTCTACCAAAAGCATATGTCTTTTTGCTGAGACCAAACATTGCTCTGAGAAAAGGTCTCGATCTTCTACCAAAAGCATATGTCTTTTTGCTGAGACCATACATTGCTCTGAGAAAAGGTCTTGATCTTCTACCAAAAGCATATGTCTTCCTGCTGAGACCAACCAGGGCAGAAAGGATGGGTCTTGATCTTCTGCTTAGAGCAATTAGACTCCTACTAACAGTACGTACTGCAAAAAAGAAGGAATTAGATTGTGGTAGGAGGAACATCTCTTTGTGCAAGCAGAAACAAGGGAAAGGCCACGTCTCAAGCTTCTAGCAGTAATTGTCCACCAGAAGGAGGCTTCACTCTTCTGGCCAGAGCAAACAGAAACAGTGAAATTTGTT